CTGGTGTCGACTTCCGTCGGCTTGGTTCGACGCGGCGAATGCCGCCTCGATCTTGCCCGCGCCTCGGGGAATGGGAGGGACTAGGCTGACGCTGAGCCTCCTGTTCCGCAGCTCACCGCTATGACCGCCTAGGCGCAGTCCGCGCTTGTTACCGTTCAGCTTGTCGCTGCTGTCGAGCGTGACTCCTGACGGCTACTGGCGGGAGAGACTTACTAAGGTGCGCCATGACGCCTGTTATGCATACACCCCCAGCATGGGTGTCCGCCTAGGGGTGGCCCGGTGGTGCTTAATGCCAAGCAGCGGCAGCCGCGCTCTCTGTAACCAGTTTCATGAAGAGGGAACGGCATACAACGCTGGGTTAGGGAGTAACTTCCCAAGTTTTTACTTCGAATCCGGTTGTGTAGAGTGAAAGCAACTATTTACTTCAACAACCGTAAAATTCTTCTTATTACGGGGCATTGGAAGAAAGGAGTTACTCCGTACTTCACCAAGCATCCATCGGGTTTCATAAACGTAGCTGATTTGACCATGGAGTCGACATTCACTCCAATACTGACGTAAAATAAAAAGATGCTTCGGTCTGTCGCAAAATCGGCGATGACGATCATCCAGCGGCCGGCCCATGGTCTTGCAGGAGTAGAGGAACAGGCCATCTAGACCGAGAATCAATCTGCAGTGAGAAATTGTTGCGCTATGAAACGATGTCAAACGATGTCAACATATCAGGGGTGGACGTGTACGTATATGTGAGAAACTGAATACAACTGCAATTCGTATCGTAACTTTTTAGACATCACATTACATATGCCAAGATCTGTGGTAAATAAAGGTGGCAGTCTGAAATGAAAACCATCCTCTTTTGCACGTGACGTGGATTTCACGAGATTATGTTTTTCTGTCTTGCTGTGACACGGACAGACATGACATGAAGCTCACAAAATGCACAAGCAAGGGTTAGGATAAAGTGAGCTGTTTCATGGAAATCGTGTCATTCAAGTGCAACTTGCTTTCAAAAGAAGTACAGGGAAACTCAGAGCACGAACACACGAGCCAAACAACTTTGTTTGCTTCCGTTAGTAGCGGAAAAAATATCGAGATTTATAGGATGTGTGCATTCCAGCCAGTTACAAAAGTGATCATAATTTGTTTCTGAATCAAACGCCACACAGATCACAAATTTAGTACAACAGACTAAATCGATAAGTGACCACAGCTTGTTCGTAACTTAAGCAATATTTCTGGATGGATTATGAGCGTCCAAACATCTCGGGTCTAAACCAGTGACACCGTTGTCATGGCAACGACCGCTGGTATTGCCATTGATATTACTTCAGTCCCGGCATTTTACAGTTTACTTCGGAGGGGTCCTGCCATGTTTATGGAACCGGCGTGGGAAGCAGGGAGTTATGCAGAAATGACTTAAGCCCGCCAGGAGTAAATGGCAACTTCCCTTTATAAAACTGGTTACACAATGTGCGCACGGGCCCGACCGAGCGTATTAACGAAGGTTCGCGACGCATAAGGCTCATTAACCAAGCAGGAAAGGTTCGTATCGGGCAGCATTGTAGCGGAATGAGAAAAGGTTCCTGGAAATATTTAGACAAAGCTCGCAATGAGAAAGGTTCACACAATAATGCTCTGGCTGTGATTGCAGTCGAACCTTCACCGAAACAAACCTTTTTGGATGCATACTAACTGTATTCGTTACGGATCTCAGACACCGCAGGCATGTCCGCGGCAGGCGAAGCATTCCGGATTCCCACATTTGCAAACCGATTTCTTCTCTCGCGCTTGTTTTCAACGCGGCTATTGCTTTCCGACCATGGTCCTATACAGACTGCCGCATAGCGGCAGAATCTGTCATCTTTAAAGGTGTGATGCTCTGGTTGCGATGGGTTTTGCGCTGTTCCGCTACGCACCTAAAGATATCATGACGATTATTTTGTCAACCTCGTTAAGGCATCCGCGCTTTAAAACTGCTCTCACCTGTCACGACAAACTGATGCGCTGATCTACCGACGCCTCTCGACATCTGGCCTCACGGTCTCCAACCTCTGACCTCTGAATGGCATGCAGCGCACCAGACGGTGCGGCGTTCCGTTCAGTCCCTCGAACCAGCACCCTGCCAACTGCACGGCCAGCATGAGGCGCTGCCTCCGAATCGCCCCAAGCTTGCACCCGCCGTCTGTTGTGGCAGACTGCTCCTCCGAACTCACCCTCCCCCCCCCCGAGCTTGCCCACCCCTGTCGGCTGGAGGCCCCCCCGTCCCCCCTGGCGGTGCGGCGCCGCTGTGACGTGCCCTATCGTCAGCTGTTTTTGCCGGGAGACGCGGCGGCAGAACGCATTTGATACGGGCGTGACATTTTGCCCGCTCCCGACGGCGGGCTTATCGCCAGCTACCGAACACCGGCAGCGGACGTCGGGAAGGCGGGCGGGGTTCGGCTGGCTGAGCTGGCCAGTGCTCCCTCACCGCGCTCTCTGAGGCGCGCGGAGAGCCAGAATGTACCACAGCTGATGAAAATGCTACGTGGAGTAAATGACATGCTAGACAGGTGAATACTATCCAGTCCTCAACGTACGTGCATGTGCGTATTTAAATATAAATATGACTGAATACATATATACATATATATATATATATATATAATGTATTTATTTATACATACATAACGCATAATTCGCATCATTAAGGCGATGAAACAAATTTTGCGTTGCCTGGGATTTCGGAGATCACCTGTTGACTTGGGCACAGAGCACTGTTCCGAACGTAACCGTACACCCACCCACAAGGCCCGACGTGGGCTCGGTTCCGGGCGTGGTGGCAATGGCGTCGTTTCCTGTAGTTCAGTTGAAGGGAAGTGGGACTCCAGCCGCCCCACTTCGAGAAGAATGTGAATCAAAGAAGGACAAACCTGATGTTGGCAGTGTTGAGGTGGACTAGCCATTTTTACCTCCCCAGCCCCTCAACTTATTCGGCAAAACTACGCTTCTGTATCAGTTAGTTATTGAGTTTTGAGGGCTCGTCAACACCATTGGTTGTTAACGCTCATGTATTATTGTTAAGAAAGTAGGCCTCCGAAGAACCTAACCTAACCTATTATTGTTAAGAACCTACGCTTCCCCACGCTTCTGCATCTATGTTATACGTGCTAGTGTATAATTTTAACGTGTCTGGTAAGTGTACACGGTCAACTTGATATAATTACCCACCCTTCGCGTATTACATTGCCCTTACTCGTATTTTGCTGTTGTTTTGAATGTTGTTTATATAAGAACTTAGCTTGTTCAACGTTTAGTTGTCAGTCTACTGGTTCAAGGTTTTTCAGTATGACTGACCGTACGCACGTGCGGAGGCCAAAGAATGTAGGTATGTGACGTCAAGTGTTGTACCTGCGCTTTAGCAGGCATGCGTGTGTGTTTTTCTTCTCCGGGCGCACCTGAGTATCTGGCGGAAAGCGCAAGAGTTAGTTTCAAAAAAGGAACTAAAACCCGCATCATTTTGAAATTGCGGCGTGTCAGCAAATGGACCTAGGACTACGCAATTTCTTCAATTCGTCCTTCTCACAAGTGACTTCAAAATCGCAATGTGCAAGAGCTTTTTGTGGTTTTGGACTTGCATGCTTACGCGTTTTGCATAGAAGTGTAACTTACAGTTTGTCCTCACCGCCCGGGCTCGGGACCGGTCTCAGTTGAGTGTCCTGTGTGCTGCGCACCTTGCCGCGATTGGCGTCACTCAGATCACCCTGCCAGGGGGCAGCGGACAGAGACGGCCGTGTTTGGCGGAAACAGATGAAGGCTCAGATCACCCTGCCAGGGGGCAGCGGACAGAGACGGTCGTGTTTGGCGGAAACAGATGAAGGCCGGCCCCGAGTAGAAGCGGGCGGGAGATCGAAACGCGGAACGGACGAAGTTTGTGCATTTCCGTCGATAGTGGTGTGCTGCAGCTTCCAGAGTCCTGAGACCAGTGTTGGTCTGCTGCAGCTGCCGGGGACCAGTGTTGGTCTGCTGCAGCTGCCGGAGACCAGTGTTGGTCTGCTGCAGCTTCCGGAGACCAGTGTTGGTCTGCTGCAGCTTCCGGAGACCAGTGTTGGTCTGATGCAGCTTCCGGAAACCAGTGATGGTCTGCTGCAGCTTCCGGAAACCAGTGTTGGTCTGCTGCAGCTTTCGGAGACCAGTGTTGGTCTGATGCAGCTTCCAGAAACCAGTGTTGGTCTGCTGCAGCTTCTGAAGACCAGCGTTGTTGTGCTGCAGCTACCGGAGACCAGTGTTGGTTTGCTGCAGCTTTTGAAGACCAGTGTTGTTGTGCTGCAGCTTCCGGAGACCAGTGTTGGTTTTCTGCAGCTTCTGAAGACCAGTGTTGTTGTGCTGCAGCTTCCGGAGACCAGTGTTGGTCTGCTGCAGCTTCTGAAGACCAGTGTTGTTGTGCTGCAGCTTCCGGAGACCAGTGTTCCCAAAGAGCACGCCTACCACGATTTGATTTATGTATCATCAACGGTAGCCTCTCAATGGTGCGCGATACGGGCCGTGGCCCGAGACGGTGCTCTCCCAGCCTGGCAGCACGTCCACATCACACTGTACACACCGCACGGACACAAACCGCGCCACACCTCGCCACAGTCATCACATTCAGCGATACCGGCCGGCGCGCAGCTCGCGCGGCAATGCCCGTCAGCTGGCGTCCGGCGGCAGCAGCCGACGACGGCCACAGGCGGCGGCGTCGCGGCGTCTCGGAACAAGCAGCACTGAGCGTCTAACAGGCACTTGGTGGCGGCCGGCGGGACGCGGGACTAGAAAGGGGCCGAGCTCGCCTCGCGGGACCGGCGGGCGGCCAGCGCGGGGAGGGCGATCAGCTGGCGGCGCTGAGTCGGACGGTCCGGCCCAAGGACGGCCGCTGCGCATGTGGCGTCTGCCCTGCGGCGATCACGGCGGGTCTGGTCGCCCCGGCGGCGCTCGCCATGGTCGCCGCCGACTCGGCGGCACACGCCATGGCCGTGGCCGACTCGGCGCCGGCGGTGCGGACGCGCCCCACACGCGGCCCAAACGCGCCCGGTCAGTGCACGTACTGGTTCTGGGCGGCGTAATGCTGCGCATCCACGATCACGCTGGTGTAGGCGGCCGGCTGCGAGTAGGGGCAGTAGTCCTTAGGCGCGTTGTTGTTGAGCGCCTCCACGTCGGCCAGGTGCGGCAGTTCTCCGGCCGCCTTCGCGTACCCGTACACGTCGGCGGCGCGCTCGTACACATCAGCGCCGCGGTCGTACCCGTCCGGCGCGCGCTCGTATAGCTCTGGGTGACGCTCGAAGGCCGGCGGCGCACGCTGCTCGGCGGCGCGCGCCGCGTACCCGTACGGGTCGGCGGCCGGCGAGACGGGCAGGTACGCAGGGAACGGCTCGTAACCAGCGAAGCCGTGTGTCGGCGGCGGCAGCTGGGCGCAGCGCTCCAGCTCCAGCGCGTCGGAGGCGGCGCTGCCGGCGCTGGCGGCCGAGCCGGCGCTGACGGGGCGCGCGCCGCCAGCATCCGGCTCCGGCCGCGGGCAGATCACCGGCGCCGGCTGGAAGAAGGCCGCCAGCTCGCCGGTGCCGCGCCGCCGCGCCGGCGCCGCCTCGTTACAAGCGCCGTACGCGTAATTGGCCAAATCGGGTCGCAGCACGAAGCGCTGGTCGACCGCCTTCTTGTCGGCGCCGAAGCCGCCGGCGCCGTAGCCGCTCGGATCTGCGTAAAGGGCGCCGTACTGGGCGGCGGGCTCGGCGGCGAAGCCGACCGGCGGGCAGTAGGCGCCGCCCGGCGAGCGGTACGGCGGGCTGAGGCCGCGGCCGGGCGGCGCCGCCTCGGCGCAGCTCTCGGCGCCCGCCGGCCGGCCGCCGTCCGCCTGCCCGATGTCTAGCTGCTGCTTTGGCCGCTGCGGGTCACTGCCGGCGCCGAGACACGCATTAGGTCAGGTGGCAGCCCGACCCTCCCCCCCAAGACACGCAGCAGGTCAGGTGGCAGCCCCCATCCTACCCCCAAGACACGTAGCAGGTCAGGTGGCAGCCCCTGTCCCCCAAGACACGCAGTAGGTCAGGTGGCAGCCCCGATCCCCCTCCCCAAGACACGCAGTGGGTCAGGTGGCAGCCTCAACCCCCCCCCCCCCCAAGCACGCAGCAGGTCAGGCGGCAGCCCGGGTCCCCGAGACGCGCAGTAGGTCAGGTGGCAGCCCTGACCTCCGAGACACATAGTAGGTCAGGTGGTAGCTCGACTCGCCGGTAGTTGTGAGGACCAATGAGAAGCCAGCAAAAACGCACGGGGTTTGTAGAAAATTTGCGAGTAGAAGTCCTACCAAATCCGGATGTGGTAGAGGGAGACAGTCGAAGAACAAGGAGGAGCGAACGGGAGACTGAGAATGGGGTAGTCAAGGACAACAAAGAACAACAAGTAAACAATAATAACAACAGCGTTTAAAGGACTAGTGCAGGAGCCACAAAAGTTGTCTAAGTCTCCGCTACCACTTCTTCCCATTTTTATGCTCCCAATGTGCCACGTTAAGAGTACCCGCTTAAGTACTCGCTTCGTACCCACAACCGTGCCCACGAATCCACCTCGGCCGCGGCAGCCCTGTCTGTCTATGGCAGCAGCTGTCTCTTGTGAACATGCTGCCTCTTTGCGGGTGACTGTCTATGTTTTGTTAGTCCACTTGTACCAACTCTATTGAATGTTGAAGTTAGCCCCCGCTGTCATATTACGCACAGACTCTGATCCTAGTGACAAACCCTGTTCCTTTATGGCAGATGTTGTCCTGTGACGTACCGCCCTCCGCAGCAGAGCCTGCCGCGTGACAAGCCTTGTCCCTGTAGTATACCGGCCCTCTGGCACACCACGCTCTCGGTGCTGCACCTTCCCCTCTGCAGCAGAGCCTGCCCTGCGCCCCACTGCGATATATTCTGGGTGGCGTGTCACGTGACGTCTTGTGACGTGAGAAGCCTTACCCCTCTCCGACAGAACCGGCCTATTTTTGGTGGACTCCATCCCATGTAACAGACCTAGCTTCGCCATGCCAGACCAGCCTACTCCGTGGCAGCCGGGGGTGGACGGCGCGGCGTGGCTGGAGCTGGCTGGCGCGTGCCAGCGAAAGTCGTCCTTTATCACCGATCGGCTGCGGTGGAAATGTCACCGGGGCTGGGATCGGCAGGTGGTCTCTCCAGATACGATCACACTGAACCAGCCCCGGGGGCGCGCGGGCCGAGGCGTGTCCCAACATCGAATACCGGACGTGGCGTAGGTCGGGTCGGAGGGGGGGGGGGCGGTGTCGGCTCCAAACAGCTCCGGCTGATGGAGACATGAGCCGTGGTCGCGGGATTACAATGTAGATGGCAAGTGTCGGGGGTAAACAAAGGTAGCCGGTCTGTGGGGCCATTCGATGACTGCTTGTGGCTGGACTGTGACAGCGATGGTGTTTGCACGTCGGTTCTTCTGACGTTGGCAGCGACTGAGTTTTAATGACGATCCTTGGCGTTTGATTTGGAACGCCTCTCCAAGCAGGAGCTTGACTGGTGAGCTGGATGTCGGATGAGGAGGCAAAAAGAAGTTCAATACTTATAAAACGTTCGTTCGTTTTATCGATCTATCGCTGCGTACTGACAGCAGGCAGCAAGTGATCCGTTGTATAAATGTATTAAGTTACACGAAGAAGGGAAAAGGTGGTGCGGACCAAATGCCTCTTGTGCCGCAAAGCAAGCCCCAAGTCGGAACAGCCGCGCCGGCCGTCACGCCCGCCCCCGATCACGGCACGGGCACGGCACGGGCACGGCACGGGCACGGGCACCGCGGAACGGGGTCACGGTCACGTATCTGTAGGTCACGACCGGAGGTTTCAGTGCGGACACGGTCGGGGTGCTGCCAGAACGCATCAGCTCCTGTTTTGAAAGGCCTGTACCGTCCCCATCACTCCGCGCACGCCGTCACTGCGGTGGGCTGTGCCGTCTCGCTGCGAGGCCTTGCGACGGTTGACCTCGGAGTTGACCCTGACCTGAGCACGTAGTTGACGCTGACGATGCAGTGCGGCCGAGATGATCGGCTGTTGTGCACGATCGTGATGTAGCTCTGCAGCCACACCCAGCCGCCATCTTTGGTCAGAAATCGGTAGTATTTGGTCGTCACCTGTCCTTTGTACAGTACTGAAAACAAAGAAATTGGGAGTGCTGAATCACGGTGATCTAAATGGGTAGCTGCTACCGCCATCAGCGTCCTTGAACTAACGGTAAATTCTGACATATTATTAGCCACTCATTAGAGTTTCCTGCGGTTATCACGGACATGTTAAATTGGTGAGAAATCATGCTTTAATACCTTTCCTCATTTGATGGCACATCTAGCCTTGAATAACTAACCCACATGTTTTAAATGGTGGTGCATCATCCAAATCTATAAATTCAAAACCACCGTATAAGATTGCACAACATGTCTCGGGACACAGTTAGGCCGAATCTAAAGAGAGTTGTGTTTCATGCCTCCATATCACCTCCATCTCGCCATCAAATTGTGACGGTATACCCTTTGACAAGTGTGTGCGGGGGGGGGGGGGGGTAAGAAGGCGTTTTCTGTGTTTCATTCTGTGCAAGACCACGCGTTTAACTTACGTTCTACCCCACGTGTCTAACATAAATTGTGCTAGACGTGTGGGAGTGGTGAATGCCCCTAACACCTAAAGTTATGCCGTTTTTTTTTAAGCTTCAGGCCATCCCACTTTTCCCGCGCCCCCAGCTCCTTGCTTCACTTGCCACGCTGTGAAGCTATCTATATGCACCCCCGTAGTGACCGGCTCCGGTGAAAGTGTGAATTCTACACAGATCCGCACAGGTGGCTGGCCAGAGCTTCTCCAAGGGAGTGCACCTAGTGGGTGGTCTCTCTGATCCCTTGAGCATAAGGAGACGGCTCCAGCAACCTGAGGGATCGCAATGTCTTCGCTTGTGACCCGAACTCCAATTTTGTGTCGTATTTAGGCACCATTGTGTCGTCCTATTTTTACATAGGGGTCCCACTTCAGAACAGTCACCTCAGAGCCCATCCAAGAGCTCTGGGCACCACTGTTAGCTTTGTTAAAGACGCAATTATCGCTAGCGTGTTTCAAGTTATTGATAGAATTACCCACATCACATAAACTTGGCGCCCTTCGGACACCTGGCGGGCACCCTTGGGGTCCAGCTGCTCAGGGGAGTGGGGCGGGGCGAGCGCTCTTCCGCCCTTGTCAGTTGGCAACGTCCCATACGTCAATGAGTGCAGATAAGAACAAATGCCAGAAGGGTTCTAAAGCTGTTGAGCAGTGTTGAGTTGACACAACCAGTTATCAATGAACTACAATGAACTAATTTGCCCAGAAGTGTTGCATAACAGCCGTTCGTCTGCTACGTGGATTGTAACTCACGTGTTCGGTGTGCTCGCGCCAAGTTATGTACATCATGCGCGTGAACATAATGATAGATGGTCTTTTCTATGAGATCTTGCGGTTCATAGCCGGTTAACGCCAACACCCTGCGAAAACAGCCCGCATGAATTAGCAGCTGTCCACTGCTTACCATCTCGAGAGAGCGTATAGTCTCCAAACCCGGGAGTCCTCGAACTCGGGGACTCCCAAGAGCACAGCGACTCAAGTGAACACAGAAAGCGGGGCCGCGCCGGCCTGCGAGCGCCAGGCAGTGGCGACCAGCGGCCCGGACTCCCACCTTCCCACCAGTCTGGCATTCCAGCGGGGCGGTGCCGTGCGATCAGCACCGGTGCCGCTGAGCCAGCAGCCCAGATCAGCACATCAGCAGCGCCCGGCCCGCCGCCCCTCCGACGGGCCGGCCGCCGCCGCCCGGGAACGAATTAATCCACGCTGACACAGGCGGCGTACACACGTGTAATTGCCGGGTGCGCAGACCCGTTTCAATAACGCACGGGCTGTTTGCGTTGAATTAAAGACTGGCCGGCGAGCGCGATTCGCTGCCACACTACAAACACGCGTAATCAGTGTAACAACTGGTTCTGCGGCCGGCCTAATGCACAAGGAGCCGCAATCGGGGCCAGATAGGCCGGGGCGGAGGCCAAACAGGCCGACCGTGCTCTGTTGCCAAACACGGTCAATCGCTACACGCTGAACGCGACAACACAATTAATGACACTGAGGCAAGACGCTGCTGTGCAGTGCACGCTGCACGATGTGCATTGTTAGCGTTCGCTCCCACGACTCTGTGTCGGTTCGAATACGATCTGGCCCCGTGCCTAACGCCCTCCTCCCCTACCGTGCGAATTTGCCTCACATTAAGTCTAGCACTTTTCAACGGCGTCCCCTGGCCTTCTGAGGGCTGCCGATCGTCATGAGCAGCCGGTGATAACATCCGTGTACCCTCCCCCCCCCCCACCCTCCCAGCCGCCGGGTGATCTCCTGGAGCCCCCGACCCTTCAGCCGGTCCCAGCACCCCACCTGGCGTCGAGGAAGATGAGTTTCATGTCCAGGCTGGCGCGGAACATGAATGTGTTGGTGTACATCTTGATCTCGGTGATGGCAGAGGAGGGCAGCGAGTGTCCCACCGCCACCAGGCCATACACCTGGTAGCAGCTGCTGTACAGCGCGCTGTCCAGGCTCATCAGCTTTACCTTGGCGTAGCCGTTACAGTGGATCGCCTGAAGAGACAGAGCGCTTGATACAGTGGATCGCCTGCAGGGACAGGCCAGGTGGTACAGTGGAGCAGGAGGAGCAGGAGCAGGCAGCTGATGCAGTGGATCACGTGGGGATAGTGCTACTACATCGACCGAGGGCGGGGCACGCGCCACAGTCCGTCGTGTGGGGCCAGCGCACGTCCGCGGTGGATCGGTTGGGTACAGTGCACGTCCGCGGCGGATCGGCTGGGTACAGTGGACGTCCGCGGTGGATCGGCTGGGTACAGTGCATGTCCGTGGTGGGTCGGCTGGGTACAGTGCACGTCCGCGGTGGGTCGGCTGGGCACATCCGCGGATCGGCTGGGTACAGTGCATGTCCGCGGTAGATCGGTTGGGTACAGTGCACAATGAACGTGCTGCAGTAGATTGCCGAAGTACAGTACGCTGAGAGACATTGCACGTGCTAGTGGGACAGTGCCGGTGGTGCATTAGATCACCTGGGGTCAGAGCAGTGCATCATCTGATGGCGGGCCGCGTGATACAGTGATTCGCCTGGCGGCAGTGCGTGTAATGCAATGGACCTCTTGGTATCGGTGCACGTCACATGGTGGATCTTCCGAGAACGGTGTATGTGCTCCGGTGGATGACATGGGGACTTGTGTGTTTATAGGTGCTGTTCATCACCTGGTGTATGGGAAGAACACACTGCACACTTCTCGGAGGGTCAGACAGTAGGCTGCATTGGGACAGCGCGCGTGCTGAAGCCTCGGCCTAGAAATGCAGCGCAGGGGCATGCATACATGGTAGCCCCCGGGGGCACGTACCCCCCCCCCCCCCCCCACTCACCCCTACCAAATTTATGGCATACGTGTACATGTACGTGACGAAACGTGTGCCGTTGAGAATTCTGCGTAAACACCTAAATATAATAAGATAGATAACATGCAATATGATTTCACAACAAACGAAATTGCGGGCACCTGTGACGCGATAAACTCGGTTTTAAGTGATCCTCTTTTAGTTTCACCTCCTCTCCACATGCACGGTGAAATTCTGTGTATGCCCCTGGCACAACACATGCTGGAGGGGATCGCCAAGGACATAACGCTTGCAGGGGTGGATCACCTGGCGTCATGACATGTGCCCCACCGAATGGTCTGCCGACAGGTACACGCTATAATCTATCATTTGAAAACAGACCGCAGGCCACCCCTGATGCTCGGCCAGCTCAGCCCGCTGCCTGCCGCCCGGGCTGCTCATCCTGCTGTCCACTGCTCGGCCCACTCACACCCCTGTTCGCTACTCGACCAGCTCAGCCCGTTGCCTGCTGCTCGGTCCGCTCAGCCCGCTGCCCGCTGTTCGGCCCGCCCAGCCTGCTGCCCGCTGCTCGGCCCGCTCAGCCTGCTGCCCGCTGCTCGGCCCGCTCAGCCTGGTACCCGCTGCTCGGCCCGCTCACCTTGTAACCCGACGTGGTGAGACCGGCGTTTCGCTTTGCTAGCACGCATTTCATACGGATGATGAAGCTGCGCTCCAGCTCAAAATCTGACGGACAGATCGCACCAAGAAGTTACACACAGGCCGAGCCTACTACCAGCAATCACCCGCTTCTCATACAAGCCGTGGGACTGGAGTGCGAAGACGTACTGCGTGGGCTCGTGACGAGCAGTTGCTCGCATGTCTACACATGACTCAATGCCAGAAGTGGCCAAGGACGATCATTCCCTCACCACGGCATCTCGTTATTTCTTGCAGCGATCGAATGAAATACAGGGGGCGAGCGCCGTACCTGCGCCGCCGGCCTGGCTGGCAGGCACGCCCGGCTGCATGTTCAGCACGGCCGCCATCTCGGCGTGGTCGTCCGGGTGGATGTACTCGTAGATGATGTTGCCGGTGAGCTCCACCTGCGGTGGACGCGCCGGATCAGGCTGCGGCAGCTCAGGTGCACACAGACACGCGGCTCCTCCAGCTGTCCATGGGATACTGACGGTGGGGTCATCTGCACTGCGCCAGACCATTGGTACATTCCAGCTGGATTTCTCAATGACTCAAACAAAGGTAATGTGTTGAATCCTTCGGTTTATATCCTCGCCGGATGCATGACACACGCCATGCTTAATATCGCCACGGCATCTCACCCAAGTAGTCACCTTTAGGCAAGGTGTTAACCAATCTCCTTGGCAATTTGTCAGTGGCTCAACCTGACAGGACATTTACTACTGACGGTTGACGGTAATAAAGCAAACAGTCAAATGCCAAGAAGTCCATGTACCAGCGGTAAGATGCAAAAGGTCGAGTGGAAAAAATAAAAGGACATAAGGCAAATGGCGAAAAGTCGAAAGGAATAAAAACCAAATAAGCAAAAATTTGAAAGGGATAAAAGTCAAATGCGTAAGTGCAAAAAGTCAATAAGTCGAACAGAATGGTGTACCAAGTCACGGCATCCTGAAGTAGTCGGTCACGCAGACCCCTCCTGGAGCATATCCGAGGCACGTGACGCCACTTCCCTACCACGAGGTTTGTTTGCCCGCTGCTCGCAGGCAGGGAGCAACAATATGTATTTGCTGCCCCCAGTTTCCTTTCCTTTCCTTTCTTTCCTTTCCTTTCCTTCCCTTTTAATCTAAACTAATTCTATTCCATCCATCTTTCCATCTAAACTAAAAGTTTTGCGGTCATATATACTGTAAACAATCAGATCGAGGGGACACCATGGTTGAGATAGGTCTTTAATTGAGTTAAGGAAAACCTTTCCTTTGTTAAGAGGCCACTTTTCTGGAGCACGAAGCCAACTTTATGACTAAGTCAGCCCTTCTTCGAACCAGGAGGCCTCATCTTGTGTTAGGGAGTGTGCTCGCTCGCGAGGTCACCTTTGTGAATCAGGAGACCCCTGATCTGGATCAGGAGGCACCTTCCGTGGATCAAGAGGCCTTTGTTATGGAGCAGGAGGTTCCCCTATCCCGTGACCTCCTGTTCCAGGAAGTTTTTGTTACGGATCAGGAGGGCCTGACTGGGATGAAGAAATCCTTCATCGGGTTGGGGACCCCTAATTCACAGCGCGGATCGGGATCATTCCACCGTCGGTGAAATATATAGGCGCGGCAGATCATTTTGGACCTGCACTCCCATGCGCCAGTTTTCCCTCAAATTCATTAAGCCGACACAATGATCACATCGCATACACTCGAAGCGGGTACCAACACTCGGGCTTGTGTCGAAGGATAACGACTGTCCGACTGGCATGTGCTGTACTGAAAATCTAGTTTGTTTTTTTGATGCACGCAAAAAGCAGCCATGCCGTGTTTTTCGTTAATAAATTATTTAGTTCTGTGTAAAGCACGGCAGACGGACTAGAGCCAGCAGATAAATGGACTCATTTCCTTTAAAGAGAGAGAACCAATGTGGAACAGGCAGCCCGAACGTTCGGGTCTCTGCCTGCACAGAAAGGTGGCCTCTGCATCGTCTTCTTACAAAGCCCATCAAACACCACGCAATTGATTTTAAATCAGCACTTATACGTTCTTATTAGAAGTCTGACTGATCAGCAGCAAATAAAAAACGCACCAAATCTAAGATAAATTCAACCGCTTTTTACGACTTTGCCCTGTTTGTTAAAGAAATGTCTGCATAGCAAGATAACGTGTAAAGAACGTGAGCGCAAAAAATTGTTCTAAAAGTGGTACTCGTGATGTACTCCCATTGTCCTCCATTACCTGTATGAAGGGGGTCTCCTTTTCCTCCCCAGGACCCAAAATTAATGGAAGACAGACGGACTTCAATTTCTCCAAACTGGGGAACAACGCTTAAGATACAGTTTGGAGGCGTACTAATAGACTGCTTTCGGGGTTTCTTTGCACTCCACCCGCCCAAATTCAGGAGGCCCTTTGGAAAACCACGCCCAGAAGCCCCACCCATCTGAGAGGAGGCTCCATTTTGCCTTGGAGACCGCCGTATAAACTAATCCCTCAGCTCAAAATACGGGATCGTCAACATGTGTGGACATAATATAATTTTTGTATGACCATGACCTTCTGAGTTTGAAGGGGCACAAAGCACATAAGTTAAAAGGCATCGCATAGCCTGAAATCATGACGTATCACTGCACCTAACATGGTGCGGAAGGCCCTTTATGTCCAAAGCCGGGAGCCCTCCGCAATGTCCCCCTCCCTAAGACTAAGATCAGTTGCTCTGAACGAGCAACTGATCAAGAGCCTTTAACATATTGCAAATCCTGTGGAAGCTACGGATTCTGTTAAGGATATGTGCGTTTTGATTGACACCCTGTTCCGCTTTATTATCAATTTGATTTTTGCTTCTTTTGAATTTTTTCTTTGTTTCCTTTTCGCATTGGAATTTTGTCCCTTTCACATTTTTAAAAACTTTTATTCATTTGCTTTGATTGCTTCCGAATTTTTGTTTGCTTGCCTCTTTGCAGTAAACTTTGACTTCTTGCCGTTCGACTCGTTGCCATTTTTCTTTTGTCCTTTGAATTTGTTCATGACTTTTTGTCTTTTGACTTCTTGCCATGGAACCACCAGTGATCTGCACTTTTGGGCGCTGTAGGGCCACGTAGTGGTAACGCCCGAATGTCTTGATAACCAAATTACACTCTATCCTCATTTCCATGAGATAGCCCCATCGCATCAATTCACTGGGGCATGTTGACTTCTGGGTTTACTTTGGTGGCCAAATTTTCCACACTATCAATGCCTAACGTTTTGAAACTTCATCGAAATTACTGAGCACTAGCTTCGCAACACCTGTCGAGGTGTGTACTTACAACACTATCCAATTTTAATCCCAGAACGGGTTTAGTAGACAAGTTGGACCAAATTATAAGCTGTTTTTGGATGAATGTGCCGTCCGCTGTCATCTTATTATACTCGATATATGTTTGATTGGATGCTTATATTGTGACCATTCGCAGCCACAGCTTTACATGTCAGCCAAAAAGGCATACAAAACTGGCGACCACTGCAATGCTCAGCATGTGTAGGGGTAAGTAAAAACTATTTGTGCAATCATAATTTTACCATCGTCGACGCAAACATAGCCTTGGAAACATTTTGGTTAGGTTTTATCTCCTGTTGGTGCTGTTAGTGACCGATAATGTGCTCATGTTTTGCTCTCCTAGTGCGTCTACTTGGCTGTAGTATCAGTAGGGATGGGGAACACTTGTTACCAGGCACGTATGGTGTTCAAACATTCACTTCCTTTTTACTGAGGGCGGAAGATCATTTTCATATGCTGCTAATTAGAAGGCGTTTCACATGTCGTCATTTGACCTTGGACGCAATTTTTCATGTTTTCGTTACTTTCCCGTCTCATGCCTAGCTAGCCCGTGTCCCACAAATTGGCCTAGACAGTCTCTTGCGGCTCCGACGTAAGCCCCGTGGAACATATTCCAGTGTGGTCATCGCGTGTTTACAGCGGGGACGGCCGGGGTTTGGAATACGGTACGGAACAAAGACGAATTGCCGGAAAACTGTCCTAATGGTACAAAGTAGCTTCCCTTAGAGGGCACCAATTACACAGCCGTGCTGGAAGCCTTGCCCTCTTTTGTTTACAAGCGTGCATCAAATATGCACGCATATATTTTGTCCGGGACCTTGTCAGGAGGTGACAAAATGACAATATTCTCTTCAATTGACTGCTCAAAGTATCTTTGAAATGTCCTTAAGTTAAGACCTAAAAATACACCTACGCGACCCACAATGTCACCAACCACACCTTGGGCATTGAGGTCAGAAGGACACAGCCCACAGATTACAGCAGCCAAACACTACAAAATGTCCGTCAAACTGCCGGCCGACTTTGCCGACATGGTTTCTCAGTCGGGCCCCAGCGCTCCCCAGAAATCTGCAGACTCACTGTTGTTTCCGAGACAAAGAGACGGCCGCCATTCGGTCTCGGCGGTGGCACTGCGGAGTCGGCGCTTTTTGCCCGTCCCCCGCCTCTCGGCAGACCATCTCACCGAATCTATCGATCTCAACCGGGGTGTTCGATTCCCATCGCGCTGCTCGCTCGGTCCGCCGCCGGTCTGCGGCGAGGGACACCCATCCAACTCCGTATTGGACATCAGAGAATGTCTGTTGGTCGCCTTCAAATCGGGTCCCATCGGGGAGAATGTGCTAGGCATCCGTATCATAATTTTTCGTCTGGATTTACATGATATGGCGGCAGAGGTCGCGCGCCGCTGCAGGACGTTGCGAGGTTACCAGCGCCACGGCTGCTGACGACGCTTGACGGATATGATTCGTGGGGTATGCAACACTGTACATGAAACCAGCCCTTCTCAGAAAAGGCATGACATCGCCGTTTGCCTTTTACGGTCTGGAATTATTATCACATACGGTGGCATGCTGCTTTCGACAAGCTCTCTTCGTTCTAAATCAGCCATTTCCTTAATATAAATTTCAGGTTTCTGCAGCAATCACAATCGAAAGGTGAAATTGAAAGGACCTTGGAACTTTGAGTGTGGCTGGGAATCGCAAATGTCTCTGATCAACATCCTACATTCTATATTTATCGCATATATCCAACGCATATCCTTTTATATCCATCAGTTCTGTACCTATCACGTCATGAATGAAGAGCTCCCATTCATACCAACAGGTAAACGAATATGTGTCAAAATTTGATGAAGTGACTTAACCCAGTTTTCCTGCAGTGAACCCGACCCCACCGTCTCATTTGCAACTACGCTACAGGGGGCTAAGCATAATGTTCTGAAATCTTCCAGTTTTTCCCAAGTATCGATTTCACGCCAACCACCAAAACCTGAGCCAGTTCCAACCATACAGTCCCAACCAACGGTGAAGGCACCAGTATTTGCCTACCACAGCGAGCGAGTGAAACATGTGCTGAGGCCCGGACGCGTCGCCACCCGCGGTGTGAACAGGCGACA